ATAATTTTCTTAGTAATGCTGGCGGAGTGAATTTCTTGCATCTGTTTCTGGTAGTTGTGCACTGCGTTATTCTAGATCACTCTATAGTCTTGACCTTCTGAAGAAGTTTTGTTCCAAATCACAGGAAATATTGTTATGTTATTCCACATTGTATTTATTGAACATTGAATTTGTTTCTGGTCCTGAAATCAAACCTAAAGAGAAATTCGTTGTTTGAAAAGTTCCAGAACTTAACTGAGTATAACACGGCACTAAATAGACGAATACCGGTTATACCGATTTCACTGGAAGATGCACGGCGAAAAAAAAGGCCACGTGGAAATGTTGCATTTATTGAAGAGGAAACCATAATTAATCCAGGCAAATTTATAAAGTTATTTTATAAAATGATTTGCGAATTTACATCATTTAATATTGATTTGTTCTGCAATTATCTTCGAATTAATAATTTGGACTCAGTCATATTGATCTTTCGATTTAAATATGATTTTCTTTTATTTAAGAAGATGTTGATCCAACAGTAGGGCGTTTTCGAAATTTGGTTGCTACTGCAATTATATCTACAAAACGGAAACCACTGGATGAAGGAACTGAACAAAGAACTAAGGAAGGTCCTACTCAGAAAAAGATTTTAAGGCCTGGACGCGTAGACGATTATAAAAATACAAGGTATATCTTTTCAGTACTATCTTATTGGCTGGTACTCATTTGCCGGTAGCGTGATTTAAATTCTACTGATTCACTTTAGTACTAGATACGGTCAGGACAAGGCAACAGTACAAATCTGAAAATTTTGTTATGATCCCGAAGCTTTTTTTAAAGAACTTTTGGGGAAAAAATTTGTTTTTTTAGCAGATTTATATTTTTAAACTTAATATTTCTAATCGATTACTCTATTTAAATGTGTTGTTGTTCAGGTATGTACAACCAATGATTTCAAGCTTGTCGATTGTTATGAATGCTGCCCCGGATTTGGAGTTGTATGCGAAAAGTTTACCGGAACCTACTTCTGGACATGTTGGGCCTTTCGTTCAGGGAACACATCGAATACATGACGATGAAGATGGTGATGCACCTCACAAGAAGAAATATGCTAAAGAATCCTGGCCAGGCAGAAAATCGAATCAGAGTCGGGTTCTGGCATAAATAAACAATAAAAGTGTGGTTGTTTGCGTAAGATGAACTAATAGACTTGCTTCAGCATTCAATATTTTAAAAATTAAGGTTGTTTTATCTGTTTTTGTGACTTAGAAAAAACTTGAGGAAATTGTTTCAATGTTAGACTTTTCAGTTTACTTATACGCAAACATTTACTTCTCTTCCTTTCCTTAAAGTATGTTTTATACTAGGAGATTGTTCACTCTTCATAGCACTGTTTTTTTCATAATCCCTGCGATATCAACCATTTTAAATACGGTTCTTACAGATCCGCGTTTTCTTGGTCAGATACTGCCAAATGCGAATCAAAGTCTAGTTCATAATTGATGACACAATTTCATGTTAATTTATTCAAAATATATTGTATGCCTGGTACAGTGAACTTTTCGTTGTTATGGTGCAACTTTTTGTGAGTCAACTGATTTGTAATGCATATGTACTGAATAAAACTTTTGATGATGTGTTTTCTACTAATTACAGGCTTTAACATCTTCAATATTTTTCTTCTAGTTTTGATGATCACTTACTGAAGGGTTAATTTTTAAATCTTGGAAATATTAGGTGAGAAGAGTTCTGCAGACGATGATAGGGAGTTCTTGCCCAGTGTGGAATGTTCAAATTTTGAGTTAACTGGATTGAATAGATTGGGCCTGAATAAGTCGGATAGCCGAGTAATGTCAAGGAACCAAGCTAATGGGTTGAGATTAATGTCTTTGCTGGTAAGGTGTGTTGGTTTTATTTTGTTCTGAGATGGGTATTGCAGATTGTGTTTTTAAAAAATTCAATTACCTAAATGGAAGACCCAGATGATTATGGGGAAGGTGATGATGAAACAAATGAAGAGGAGAGGAAAATGCTACTGGATCACTGCATACGACATCTCAATCGTAGGTTTCGAAATTGTTTGGGAAGTATCTCTTATCAGTCATATTTAAATGAAAGCAGTCTCGGAGTCTTAGAGTTGCAAGTTAAGCATTTTATCATCATCATATTGAAATTGCTGAGCTGTACATCCGAGGTCAGAACTTGGCAGTATTATGTGTCATCCTTTGATAGCTTTATTGTAATCCATTTTCCCGAATTTCAGTTATTAATTAAAAATTAGCATCGATTTAAACTGCAAATATGAAATGTTGTAAATCAAGTGAGTATCAAAATTTCAGTTCCCGATTTCGTTATGGAACCCCAAATAGTTGGTGTATTGCAGACATTTTTCCGGTGTGGTGGGGATCCGGAAACAGTTGTTAATTTACTTTCTGAAAACTATTGCTCACTAGGCCAGGTAAAAAGTCCATTTGTATGATGTATATGCCAAGAATAACTGTTCGTATGACATTAGCGTGTAAAGAAGTTAAAATAAGTTGCGTTTTAATAATTAAACAAAGAAGGATGCAAGTGAACATTGGGAGAAATTAACAGTAATTCGTTTTTTTTGAAGTCGCAGTAAATAAGAGTGTGTAAATTTGAAGGTTGCATTATAAAGAATCGTTATCGAACGGTTTCTTTTTTTTTCAAGCTTTGTAACCTCATCGGTGATTGGTTGGCAGACTTGGAGGGTAGCCGATCGACAGTAGACGAATGTTTTGAATCAGCCTTGAGTGCTTTGATTGCGAAGCATTTCCAACCTGAATTAGCTGATAAAATATTTGAAGCAGAAGGTGTTGGCATTGAGTGGTTACCGGAATTGATCTCACATAAGTTGGTTACACTTCTTACATCTGACTCGTTAGAATTTCGCTTTTTTAGTAATGTACTGGTGTTTTTCCCATCAAAAAAAACTTTCCAATATATTAGATATGCAGTAATAAAATGAAACGCTTTTCAACTCTTAACCTGAATCAGTAAATCATTTCATTAATGAAACTCGATGAACTTTTGGTAGGGAAACCACTTTGAAAATATGAGATTTAGATCAAATTTTTTCCAGACCTTGGCGGCGGTTAATTTATTCGCTTGCTGAACAGTATCCTCATTGTTTGATGTTAAACTTTGCTGTGAAATTAATATCAGATGCCGGTTTTCAACATGAAATTAGTAACGTTAACACTGCAGCTCAACAGGTCAAGTTTCTCGTTTATACATTCAGTTCGACGATTTTCATAGAAGTATTAGGAGAATTTATGATATTTCCAATTATGCTGTTAATGTTATTGTTCAAGGAAAATGTGCATAAAGTACTGTTTTTCCACTCATAATTTGAAAAAACTTTGTTGGGAAAAAATTTTTTACATAAAATTGATTAATGTGGCAATATTTTGATTTGTTTCAGCTTGAAATTTTTTCGCGAGTAGTTTTATTCACAATTGATGCTGTATTCCATGAACATCGGCGAGGTCCAATGACAGAAGCTTACGAAAATGCTCTTGCGGAACTTGTCCGAGTCGTGTGCCACAGTGAGCATACATATCTATACACACAAGCGCTATTACATGTTATATGTGAAGAAGTACGTATAGATTTAATAATTACTTTTTAACAATATGCTGCATGTTCGGTAAGTTCACATATTTTGTCTATTTGAGCTGGGAAAACAATTGTGTTGAATGGCCAAAATATTAGACAAACCACGGACTGCTTGTCCAGCATGCATTAATTGACCTCATGAAAACCAAATCGAACTTATAGTGCATCAGCATCAGAAGATACTTTATCTTGAATAACTGGGTAGTTCTAGTAATATTGGAGGCTTCTAATGCTTGTAATTTACATTATATGAACTTTCTAGGAAACTGGAATGGCTTCCGCTGCTTGTGCTCATATTTCCCAAGTGCTGCGGATGGAAGCACATGATCGTGAACAGGACACATCGGCGTTACACATTGCTTTGAAGCAATCGCATGAAGAACAGATTACATTAAACTTATTACAAGCAATGCATACAATGATGAGCAAGCAGTGCTTGAATCCTGCGGATATCACACAACTTTATCAGGTCAATTACTCTTAAGTATACTATATTTTATTCTTGCTTACTGTAGAACACTTTCACAAAAATATTTCTGTGTTCAGCTCCATTGATTTACAGTTGGTTTTGGTCCTCATTCCTTATTACATTTACAGTTAAATGGTTGTTTTTTTCTTTTCAGCAGTACGTTTCGACAAACCCGCCTCCAGTTGAATTAATTCGAGAGCACTTCTTTGTTGATATGTTAACTGATTCACTTTTCGCATATGAGGGTATCAAAGTTCATGCAGATCATCGGCCGAAGTATGTCTACTTGTTAGCGTATGCATCATGTGTTGGTGAGCAAAAGACAACTACCGGCCGAGTACAGAATCGACAGGAATTGAACATGACTCGAGATACCATCGAGCGAATAGTTAGTTTGCTGGAAAAGACAGATGACCTTATAAAGGAAATGAAATCACTGTTATATGCAATACGTCTTCCTGTCATTGCCGCCGGATTGTTATATTATTTACGCGGAAATCTTTTAAGTGATGAAGTTATCAGTGAACCGGAGGCCGTGCATTTTGTATTGCTTGATCAGATTGCTACAACACATTCTAATTTACAATTAAGGTGTCTTTTATTACCTTTTCTCCAGGGTTAGTAGTGATTATATTCCAACCTTAGTAATGTTTATAGAGTTATCCAAGCATTGGTTAACTAAATTGACTTTTTTTGTTAAGTATTCTAATTAACTTAAACAGAGAACAGTCTCTTTGGAAATCTTTAGATGTGTTTTCACTGGCATTAAAATAATGCCAGTGATTAGTCATAAGTCCTGTAAACTCTTATAGTATTTAGATTGTTTCATGCATGCGGCATGAAACGATCTAAATATTATAAAAACAGTCTAAATACATGCTTTTATAATCCTCACAAATACTTTGATACTTTTATAATTATTAAGGTCAAAAATCTTCATAGTCGCACTTTTCACCTGACAAGTTGATGAATTTTCAGAGTTTTCCGAGTTCTCTGTGAGTTGTATGATAGACAGTCAACGATGAATGAAGCTGCTGAGGTTATTATGGAGAAACAGCGCAGTGTAGTTGACCGTTTTGTTCATTTATTGTCAGTTGGCTTGGCTTTACCGGTTGTTGAAAAAGTCAACAGAATGTTTCGTGATGGTCAAATCGACATTTCACTTGTTAGGTAAGTCTTCACCACTTTTAATCCAAGATGATCAACTTTTGCTCAAAAATTGTATCGGGACTACTGAATCGTGGTGGTACTGCACCTCATTGAGTTATATATGAAAGTTTGGAGGAAAATTGATGATGCCAGTCCTCGAGTTACTTCATTTTTCATCTTCGTTCTTGCTGAAAAAAAGATGGAGATGACTCGCAGATATCTTTTAATTGAATTCGATAAAGATTCATCTTAAACCTTACGATTATTCTAGTTGAAATTCAGGTACTTCGCGACCGAAGTTCTCGAAATTGTTGCTCCTCCGTATTCGGAAGATTTTATCGGTGTTTTTCTCCCAATCGTTTCAAGTCCCGAAATTTTCGATCAAAATATTAGTGATAAAATTCCTGCCGCAAAAGAATTCATTGATCATTGTACACCTTTGGTCGCTGAAGTTAAATCGTCACAAGTTTGATCCAGTAATATTCAGCAGCTACAATGGTTGCTAATGCAGTCATTAATTATTTGCAAACTAAATTTTTTCCCTTGATTGGGGAAACCAACCAGGAGAATGATGAGCGAAATCTCGTGTTCTCATGCTGAATGAAAACATGCACTTCCAAGATCCAAAAAATACGAAATAAGAGTGAGCACTGCACTTCATCCTTTAATTCCATTACGATAATGTGCAGATTTCGGAAGGTGTTAGAGTAATGTGGTGTATCCCGCTTGAAATTTCTAACTCAAAGTTGGCTTTTGATTTTCAGCAAATTTTTGGATGCTCTCTAAAGGAAAACTCAAATCAGAGGTACTTGGATGGATCCTTATAGGACAAACATGGATGAGACATCTCTTGAAGTAAATCCCTAACACATCTGTTTGGTCATTTGTATCAGTCGACCTTTTGATTACACTGCTTTGTAATACTATTGTTTACGGCATTTACTGCGCACGTTTCTAGATTTGCAAGTTGTCGAGTCCTTATAGTCAGTAAATCATTTAATGAGTCGTTTTGGAAGTGACAAAAAATGCCAGCATGATTCGACATTAGGCAATATTTCTAATGTCGCTCACGATTTGCTTTGAGATTATATAGCTTAAAAACTCTTTACTTATTTATTAATTCGTAGTTCGGTAAACAGAAGTGAGATAACATGGTATATTTAGTGCCTATTTCGCATCTAACGATGTTTCAACGTTTTCGGTTCTTGGCTGACGAAATGGGTTTATTGAGAGTGATTATTAAGTCACTGCAATTCATCGTGTAATCATCTTGAAAATTGTAATTTGAAAAACCTCGACATCAGAGAAGCCGAAAATAAATCCAGAAGAATTTATTAAGATTATTAAAAACCTTCAAGGAAATATACTTCGCTATCGCAACAACTGATATCAATTTTGCATGAATATTATATAGCATAAACATGTTTGCTAAAGATGCTTTTATTCAGGATTGGAAGAACTGCGCACCGGATTCAATGATATTTTATACTACTAGAAGGGTATTTTTTAAATTCTGACATGCGCCTAAGAGCAGAATGATAGGTTGCCCATGTACAGTTACTGAATTTCACTTAAAACTTTCCATGAAAGATTATCTCATAGCCTTAGCGTAACGATCGCTGATTACTTTCCAGTTCGCAATTTTCCAAATAGCTTTCACGAAATCTGGTCGTACATTTTTATATTGCAGATAATAAGCATGCTCCCAGACATCGATACAAAATAATGGAATGAGGCCTAAAATAGTAACCAGCAAATCAAATGTAATTGCACTGTCTGAAATTGCTTTGTAATTTCCTAAAAAATCAAAAATTTTCAACAATTACTACTTCAAATATCATATCACGTGCCTCTTCTACATTTCATATGTACTGTCTGTTTAAAGTGAGGCCTACCGTATTACAGTTACAAGGTGTAAAGACTAACATCACTCCGACTAAGAGAAATGAGTAGTCATCATGATCTGGATCTCTTTAAAAAAAAATATTTTGCCCATTTTTATTATGCTACTTACCTGTTGTTGACTGAAGAATATCTTGGTTGGGACAACAAGCAAGTTGCAAACGTCGCATTTCCTTGTCATAAGCAAGCCATCCCCATCCAGAACCTTGGATCGCAATTGTTTTGGTACTTAACTTATCCCTCATTGTTTCCAAAGACCCGAAATCCTTTTTTATAGCAGTCATCAGTTCAGCTACAAAGAGAATATCTGCCGCAAAACAAAAAAAAATTATGAAAGATCTGCTGACATAACCACCATAAATTTGCATTAAACAACTAAACTTGCACGAAAAACTTTCCAAGTTTTTAAAAACAGTCCCTTACTCACTGTCCAAAGATTCTTTCTAGATTATACATACATCATTGTAGAGAAGTACATCATTGTAGAAAAAGATACGAAATAAAATTCAGTACTGAAACTAAGTGACTATTGAAACATATTTTCCAGGAAATGAACTTACAACTCGGTTCTCCGCTATCCTTTACGGTAGTCAAACCTTCCCAAAATAGAGTGTGATTAATGTGACCGCCAGCGTTGAAATTCATGAGTTTTGTAGCGGCAACAACAGCTTGCATATTTCCTCAAAAAAGAACAAAATTTGAGATGATTGTAATCTTGATTTGCACAAAGTTTCAATTTCTCATTTTTTTCCCGAAACATTGAAAAATGTTCCACAATGTGAAAAGTGAAACCAGGCTTTCGTCACGTCAAACTACTGCTCAAAATGAATCAATTTCAATCAATTTATGTCAACTACTGTTTTGACTTCTGGGAACCAATGTCGTTTTCCATTTTTCTCAACCCTGTGAATATGTCTAAGGATGAATCAAAACATAGCACGACTTTCTTTTTCATTTGATTCGGGAATATGTTGTTTAAGAATCTACCTGTCCGTAAGTTCAGTCTGTTTTTTCATTCTTCAAGATTTTTATAAAATATTCGCAAACCTTTTGCTAGCGCTTCTTTCACTTTCTCTTCCGCTTGATTAAGGGCATTCACGTATGCAACGTGATGTTTGCTGTGATGAACTTTCATAATTTCGGCCGACAGTATCGGTTCCAAGGCCCCATAATCGTACGGTAAGTCAGGAAGAGTATGCTTTAGTCGTTGTAAGCTCAAACCATAGCTGAAAATACAAAATCCATTAAGTTCAAAATGATTTCCATTTTCAGTAATTTTTTCACAATAATCTCCAATTGAAGCCCAAGAGACTTCCCTTAATACAACAAATTAGTGAACTGAAAGGAAGCCAATACCACAACTTGCTAGTAACTTGAAGTTTTTACTAATTTACTTCTTGCAAACCAATAAGCGACCTGCGACGCCAATAATCAGATTCATCAGTAACCTGTAAAAGGACCTTATCAACGAAGAATATGGCACGAAGCGATCACTCATAACCAACGACCTATCTGCAACAGTTCTCCAGGGCTGCTGTGTGCAAGCGACCGACATGCGCCAAAGCAGACATGCGTACTTCCTTGGATTTGGAGCGAGCCCAAGTGGTAGCGTAACAGTTGAAGTTGATATAAGACATTCTGAGTCATAATTCGCCGTTTAACAACTTTCACTTTATATCACTACAGTACACTATTACAACATATAGGTACTCCGTGAAGTTTGTTCACGTGAACTACCGAATATGAAAGCCTGAAAATATCACGCATAACATCAGTTGGAGAGGACTACGGATTGACCTTGAAGCCTGCCATAAGAGGGTCTCCATCTGACAACCGTAAATCTCCACTCCTTGTTCTTTCATCCTACTATTGCCAAGTGTCATTCTATCCCCACCCATCTCTACCTCTTCCTGTCACCATTCCCTGCACTCTCTCCTCAATTACATAGCACTCTCGCTCCAACAATATCCACGCTTATCACTACCGCCAACCCACATATTATGCCTTAACTTGCATATCAGTCTACGATTCGACAATCCGTAGGTGTGGGTGTATGTGTTGCTTATGTATATGTTCCCGTTGGTGGCATATATGCTTATTAGTTTTATTATTTCAATTAGGTAATTTGATTAAAGCACAATCAGCAATCGAATAATTTCAATATTTCAATTCGACAAGACTTACCAGGCCAAATCTTGGCCAAGAGAGTACAATCCATCAACATTATCCCGGCAGTAACCAAAGTACTACTATGGACCAAACAACTAACAGGGGTAGGAGCCGCTATAGCCTTAGGTAACCAACCACCAAAAGGATACTGACCACCCTTAATAAAAGCAGAAAAAATCAGCATAAAAACCAACAAAGAACCAAAAAACTGATAAGAACCAACAGAAAATAAAACTAAACCATTAAAAAACAAAAAATACAAAAATCATCAATACGATTAGTAGAAATAGTTCTCATAGCACTACTACGAGCCACAACATTATTATAATGCAAAACCAAAAAAATACTACTTACCCCCAAAAAATAATCCGAAGTCTTCACTGGATTTGTTTTGTCCGTCATTTGGATGTCATCCACAATATTTTCAGGTTTTTCTTAGCTGACTCTGATTATTTCGAGCAATTTTAAAACGATTTTAGTAATGGCCAAAGATTGCTTACACCATTTGTCACAAATATATATTAATATATATATATATATGTATATAAGATAATCTTCTTGTGGAATAAGGTAACGACTTTTCTTGATTTCTTTAACGATTAGAAGAATGAAAGTTATTAGCCGTTTTTCTCACCTATTTGTTTTGTTCATTCCCTCCTGCTCTCTCATTCCAATCGTCGTCTGTTTTGCTGCCTGTTCATCCCTTTAACTTCCTTTAATTGATTTCCGCTTTACAGTCTCAAAGTACATAGTAAAATGGCTTTGAAGCTATAAATATAGAGTTTTTAATGAAATTTATCTATTTCTTACTTTTTTTAGTATACTGTGCGGTTGGTAACGTTATTAGGCTATAAGTAAGACTTACGAAAATGTTTAAAGTGTGTTTGATGGTGCAGCTGTTCCTCATTAGGTCATTATCTGCTTATCAGAAAGACACAGATAACGCTTGTTAAGCTTGACTGACCTTAGTAGTATTCCGAGAGAGATTTGTTTCAATATAAACATTTCTTATTTCAGGGTACCGGAAGAGTGGGAAAGTATTTATTTACTGACTGGTCATCTATTGCTGTGCACTGAGGAATGGGTGCTAATAATGCTGCAATGAACATGGTAAGCATTTCTATATTTACTTTACTGAAGAGTGCCAATGTAAACGGGACATTTATCTTGAAATCTTCTAAGACATCGTTACTGATGAATTTGAAATTCGAAAACCTTTTTAACTTCAGTTCAAATCATTCACTTGCCAAACAAATTTGTGTACTTCATTGCATAGTATCATTAGTAATTACAAGTTAGATGAAACTTGGTTCCTTTGCTGCCCAGAATTCCTTTTTATGAAGTCGTAGTGTGAAATAATTATTTTTGTCAGTTTTTTGAAAGCTCATTTTGCAACTACTTAACTGAATATTGTCAAGACTACTACTCAATGCTGAAGTTTATGGTGAAAAATAATGCAAAGCTAAGCAGGGAGTCTTTGTCAACTTTTTGGTAGCTGTTGTTCATTTTATGAGCATAAAGTTCATCGTGAACATACATTCCAGAGCAGTCAAAACGATAATGTAGATATGCGTCAAGAAAGATGGGCGAGGAGAAGTTTTGTTTCGAATGATCCTTATTTGATTGAAGTGTGGTTTGTTCTCAGCTAGTTTTGAATTTATTTTGAGCGATATTTTTTAACCCCATGAAATTCCATCCTTTTCAACTACTGTGGAAGAAAGCGATACTTTTTTGAAACCAAATTAATGTTTGTGGAATATCTCAATTATTGCGTTGAGTGTTTGATACATATATGATTTACATTATAGTTCTTTTTTTTATAATTCGCTTTTTTTCCAGAGTGCCTTAAATTTAAGGCAAACGACAGCAGCTTTGTCTGGTGCCGTTTTTCCGGAATTGTCAGTTCAGAACATGCTAAGAACTCGAGAAATAGGTAAACGAGAAAGACCGAGAAATCGCCGCGTACTTGCTGAGCGGAGTGCATCGCTTTCTTCTTTGAGAGGTGCTTTCAGTCCTGGTGAAAAAGCCTCTATAATCAATAGGTTATTTTCCCATGATTTCATTTTTATAAATTTTGAACGATAAATATTACATTAAAAATAAAGAATGCAGAAGCTCTTTAAGCATATTTGTACCATAATTGGACACACTGCTCAACGTAATACATCAATTTGTGCTCCACAAAATATTCACTTGAGCTTCCATATTTCTCTCTTTTTGTATGCTTTTGGTGAAAATGTTGCCTGATTTTTCTTTCAGTTTTTAGTGAATTTTCAATTTCTTTTTTCTAGGTATCTTCCAAACCAAAGAGCTGTAATCGAAACAGTAAATACAAAGACATTCTGCTGTTTGTATTTACCGGACAATAGGATTGTTACTGCAAGTCAAGGTTATGTATATATGTATTTTTTTTTCAAATTTTTTCTTGGTTATTGCCGGTCTTTAGAGAATTAATGTAAAGTGTTCTCTGTATTTTCTCCATGATTAGAAAGATTGATTTTCAGATGATAAATTACGTTTTTATGTGCGACAAGGTCAATTGCAGCCCAGATATACATTAGTAGGGCCGACAAATCATTATTCGGTTCCTGACATTGGCTGGAGCATTCTTGATTTAACTGCTAATTCTGTCGGGAGTCAAATTGCCTACTCAACCTGGAGCGATTCCAGTACGTTTCTGCTTTCTTTTTTCTTTATTTGATTCACACAAATATGAATTAATCCTTATGGTAAGCATATTTTGTGCATATATCTCTAATGCTGTGGACCTGAATTTCGGAACTCATTGCTTAGGTCACATATCAGCCCGAGAATCATTACGGTATTTCGCTGCTGTATATGTAAATCTTCATAAGGTTTTTCTTATATCGACTTCGTTGTTTTTTCTGTTTCTGTGGCTCAGAGTTGTTTTCCATATTTCGATATTACATAATTTGCTTCTGGAATAATTTACTCCTTTTTTCTATAACTGTCGAGTCTGATATTTAATGGTCGTTTTTTCTTTTGCTTTTCGATTATCTCACGAGATAGTATGTCTTTTGATTATCCTCAACCATAGCGACATGTGAGATGTTGTATTCAAATTCCTTCTTATTTTGTTTTTTGCAATCCTAAAATCATTAAATTCTTTTTTCATTTCCTTCGATCTTTTATTATTTACTTTACTATTTTCTTCCACCCACAACTACTTTTCTGTCTTTACTTGTTCATATA